AAAAGCTTTTCCTAATGTCAGATGGAATCCCCTTGTTTTTCCCAACCACAAGGACATAGTACATGTTCTGGAAAATGAAGTTTTTACTAAAACCATTTTCAGGTAAGGGGAAGTTATAGAAACTGCCAACACCTGCCTGCCTAGCCATTTTTACTAAGAATTATTCTGACGTATTTAGGAAGACCTTCCAATATATGTAAGAAACTTCATAAAATAAAAGAAACATTCTTCAAATACTAGTTTATGATGGATTCTCACTTTTTTATGAAGGCTTTTCTAATTATGTAGGAAACCATCCTAAAAACCCAGTTTATGAAGGATTCTCACTAGTTTAGGAAGGAAATTCACTAGTTTAGGAAGGAGATTCACTAGTTTAGGAAGACCTTCCTAAACAAGTGAAATCCCTTCTTAAACAAGTTAAAATGTGTAGGAAACCTTTCTAAAAACCAGTTTAAAAGGATTTTCACTAGGTTTAAAAGGATTTTCACTAGGTTAGGAAGGCCTTCCCAAATATTCAGAAAACCTTCATAAATTTTTTTTTAAGAATTATTCTGACGTATTTAGGAAGGCTTTCCAATATATGTAAGAAACTTCCTAAAATAAAGGAAACATTCTTTAAAAACTAGTTTAGGAAGGATTCTCACAAGTTTAGGAAGGAGATTCACTAGTTTACGAAGACCTTCCTAAACAAGTGAAAATCCTTCATAAACAAGTGAAAACCCTTCCTAAATAATTTAAAATGTGTAGGAAACCTTTATAAAAAACAGTTTAGGAAGGAGTTTCACTAGGGTAGGAAGGTTTTCCCAAATATTTAGGAAACCTTAATAAAAAAAAGTTTAAGAATTATTCTGACGTATTTTGGATGACCTTCTAATATATGTAAGAAATTTCCTAAAATAAAGGAAACATTCTTTAAAAACTAGTTTATGAAGGATTTTTACTTTTTAGGAAGGACATCCTAATTATGTTTTTTTTTAGGAAGGACTTCCTAATTGTGTAGGAAACCATCCTAAAATCCCAGTTTAGGAATGATTCTCACAAGTTTAGGAAGGATTTTCACTTGTTTAGGAAGACCTTCCTAAACAAGTGAAAATCCTTCCTCAACAAGTTAAAATGTGTAGTAAACCTTTCTAAAAACCAGTTTAGCAATGATTTTCACTAGGTTAGGAAGGTCTTCCCAAATATTTAGGAAACCTTCATAAAAAAAGTTTTAAAATTATTCTGACGTATTTAGGAAGG